CACAAGTGATTCCTAAGTAAAACAGGCCAATTTGGTGATATACTTTTTCCAATTATGTGAGAAATCCCCCTCTGCAAATTTCCAGTTAATACTGCATAAGAGCATTAAGCCACTTAGAGAACAATCCCATGCAGGTTTACTTAGAAGCAAGTCCCATGGTAGTCTATGAAGCTCTCTTCTTAGTTTTAATCTCCAAGGCAGGGGTGCGTAGCTAACCTGTTACCTTCCTGACCTTATGGGACTACAGCCTCCACCTTCCCTGACTATTATGCATCTTGGCTGGGACTGAAGAGAGCTGGACTCCAGCAACACCTGGAGAACCATGGTTGGCCATCTCTGCCTAAGGACTGCAGGCAGCCTCGCAATGAAATCATGTGCATGTCTACTCAGAAGTAAGCCCCACTGATTTCAATAAAGCTTACAGTTGCGCAGGTATAGGATTGTAGCCTAAATTACACAGGTAGGCTAATGATGCAATCCTACATGTTGGCTCCCTCATCCTGAAGCAAAATGAGCGCCGTACCCCATAGTCACCTTTGACTGAACTTAACCATTCAGGGATCATTTTCCATGTTAATGTGCAACCTAATACCTGTTATGGCGGTTGGGTTTGTTATGCTGTATGTTGCTAAGTATGAAAACCCATAAAATTATTTTTGATAATACAGTGGTACCTCGGGTTACATACGCTTCGGGTTACAGACGCTTCAGGTTACAGACTCCGCTAACCCAGAAATATTAACTCGGGTTAAGAACTTTGCTTCAGGATGAGAACAGAAATAATGCTCCGGCGGCGTGGTGGCAGCGGGAGGCCCCATTAGCTAAAGTGGTGCTTCAGGTTAAGAACAGTTTCAGGTTAAGAACGGACCTCCACAACGAATTAAGTACTTAGCCCAAGGTACCACTGTAATATAATAGAAGCCCTCTACACTACTGTATCATGTGATAGGCCTCCACCAGGGAAAATGCAATCGCATAGTGTCAGAGATATCCTTTTGGCTAGATCTGCTGCCAACATAGGCAAAGGACTCAGGGCGGTGATTTGGGAGGAGTGAACATACATCTCTCCAGGCCCTATGCTGACATTACATTATCCTAACCATAGAGGTGGTATGAGTTAAAACTCTTTCACTGAATTAAATGAAGAGCAAAAACAAATATGCCAACCACACCTGCTCCTCTCTATGATGACACAGCACAGGATTCAGATTAACTCTGTTTTCAATCACAGCCCAGGACTAGCTAAAAGATATAAATCCCTGACAGGGAAGCCATAAGCCAGACGACAGGGAGCATGGCATGGAGCTATATCTTAGTGCACACTTAACACACAAGGCAAAAGTTTAGTGATAGGAGTTATGGAGAAAGAGAAGGCTTCAGAACACCTGTATGAAGCATACATAGCTAACAAGACTTCTCAGAACTCTTACAGGTCATTGCCATCAGCATGTTTCTCAGAGATTGATAGGAATTGGCAATGTTGCCACGGATGAGGTTAGCAGAAACTATTTGTTCTGAATTTCTTCTTTTTCTCAACTTTTGTGCTGGGATGGCATTGTACCAGCATAAGTGAGTTGCCAGTTTATCACACAAGTTAAATCCTTAATATTTGGAGAGCTTGTGTGACCTATAGCAGCTAAGAAAGTAAGCTGTGTATCAGGAACTTTCCTATGCCAATCTCACAATCTCATAAATTGTGTGTGATTAACCAAGCCTCTTTGTTGCAAATTCCAAAGGCAAATTGACATCAGTGACAAAATGGAACTGTCTTTTATGGAGGTCCTCCCCATTTCCCATGTGTCATCTATATTATTTTAGATTTACATTAGGGAGCAACAACAGAGCCCCTGTGCTTAATAATGTCCAAATCCGTGAATAAGCTTCAAGTTCCTGCACCTCCCTTCCTTAGAAGGAGGCTGGAGAATTCCTAATATAGAACTATACTAGTTTGCCAACAAAGTGCACCACATAATCCCATACATCCCAGAAGATGAATTGGGTGTACATGGAGATAGATAAAACTGGAAACACCCCAGCTAAGCATACCAATTCCTCCAAAACAAACTAAGGAAAATCCCCACAACACAGTCCATTTTTAAAGGAAAAAGGAAAAAGCAGGAAGACTGTCTCCAATCCTATCCCCACTAAGCCTCCTGGCCCACCACCCACTATTTCACCATTCACCCCAAAATATCTAAATAAAGACCTAACAAGCTAAAGGCCTAACTGACTTTTACAAAAATGGCAAGCCCATATCAGCATGGAAAATACAAGACAACTAGGGGATGCTTAAATACCTTGGCTGACCCACCACCAACTATACCCTTTTTAGATCAACCCAGCAACAAATTTACACCCTTAGACTACATAGAGGGAGTACAGATCTTACAGCAAGGTTATCTCAATAGAGGTTGGTTCCCTATAGCAGTGCAGCCCTCGAGTCCAACCCATCTCTCCCACCCTCTCTTCAGTTAAAGGTACCCCTACCCATACGGGCCAGTCTTGACAGACTCTAGGGTTGTGTGCTCATCTCACTCTAGAGGCCGGGAGCCAGCGCTATCCGCAGACACTTCCGGGTCACGTGGCCAGCGTGATGAAGCTGCTCTGGCGAACCGGCACCAGAGCAGCACACGGAAACGCCGTTTACCTTCCCGCCAGTAAGCGGTCCCTATTTATCTACTTGCACCTGGGGGTGCTTTCGAGCTGCTAGGTTGGCAGGTGCTGGGACCGAGCGACGGGAGCGCATCCCACCGCGGGGATTCGAACCGCCGACCTTTCGATTGGCAAGTCCTAGGCGCTGAGGCTTTTACCCACAGCGCCACCCGCGTCCCTTCTCTCTTCAGTTAGGCTGCCAAAAATGGCTCTTTCTCCATTTTCTGGCACCATCCCTCCTAATTCTCCTGTTCCTAACAACTAAGCCTCTTTTGTTCATTTGCATGCTAATATCCAGTTCTTTTGATGCTTTGAAGTACTAATGGCTTATCTCCCACCCCTGTCACCTAACAATGGAGTATACCACATTTCATCAACACTTGTTGCTTGACTAGGATAAAAGGCTGGTACACACTTAGGGCTTTTACCTAGGTTAATTAAGTCTTCACATGTTAATCGCTGGTGCTCAAAAATAGGTTCACAGTTCCAATACACATGGATCTTGATTACATTCTCAAGGTCTGTCACACAGTCTGTACATATAAACACCAATTAAACACCTCAAACCTGTTACATTACCCCCTTCTAATACACATTTGAGACTGTCTTATAACATATCACAGTTATAACATACAAGTTTTAATTAAATCCTAATATTTACTAAACCTAAACATTCAGCACCATAGATCTATTACAATATGAAGCCCTTATTGCTACTTTTTTTAAAAAAAAAAACCAACCACATAAATGGAAATCACAATCTCAAATTCCCCTCCCATCCAAAGCAAAGCTGAGGTGTGCTAAGTTACAGGTTGTTAGTCCAGCTATTTCTTGCCTAAGCCCTTGGGAGACTGTAAATGCTGCTTGATCAATGATCAAGTCTATTGAATCAGCAGGATACTCTGCAAAGTAAATATACTTCTGGGTTATCATTGGCATTTGCAGGCAGTTCATCCATTCCAGATCTCCTGCAGTCTCACATCCATATTAAGCTTGAGAAGTGGCAGGAAAGATCCCTTCAGCATTTCACACAAAAATGGTTAGTTATTCCAAAGAGTTTTCATAAGATTAGTGAAATTCTGCAGAGGGGTTCCACAATAGACCTGAAGTATTGTCTAACCATTTGTGTGGAAGACCACCTAGAATCAGAATCATAGAGTTGTGGATTTGGAAGGGACCCTGAGGCCCATCTAGTCCAACCCCCTGCAATGCAGGAATCTCAGCTAAAGCATCCATGACAGATGGCCTTCCAACCTCTGCATAAAACCTCCAAGGAAGGAGAGTCCACCATCTCCTGAGTCAGGTGTCCACCCCACCCTTATGTTTGTGCTGCTGGCTATTCCTGCCTAAGTGTAGAACCTTACATTTGTCCCTATTAAAATTCATTTTACTAGTTTGGGCCATTCTCCAAATTGCTAAAATCATCTTGAATTCTGTCTCCTGAAGTATTGGCTACCCCTCCCAGTCTCGTGTCATCTGAAAATTTCATGAGCATTCCTTCATTTGATTAATTTAGAAAGATGTTTCACAATACCGGGACCAGGACAAAACCCTATAGCACTCCGCTTGTCACTTTTCCCCAAGGTGACGAGGAGCCATTAATGAGCACTCTTTGGGTTCAAGCAGTCAAGGAGCTACAAATTCACTTAATAGTAACCTCATCTAGCCCACATTTTACCATCTTCTCCACAAGAATTTCATGGGGGACTTTCCCAAAAACCGTGCTGAAATCAAGATACACTACATCAACAACATTCTCCTGATTCATCATGCTTGTAAGTCTATCAAAAAAAGAAATAAGATTAGTCTGGCATGATTTAGAATGGTAGAATCCTTGTTTTTGAGAAACACAACACAACATCCTTTTCTAAGTGCTCACAGACCAACTGTTTAATTATCTGTCCTAGGACCTTTCCTGGTATCAATGTCATGCTGACTGGTTCCTAGTAGCCTGGGTCCTCTTTTTTATTTCTGTTTTTTATTATTTTAATGCTGCTGTTCTTTAATGTCTGTGTTATGTCTCCACTTTTATGGTCTTTGCATTATATATTTTATATTTTGCCATGTACTGCCTTGGGAACCTTTGTGTTGAAGAATGGAACCTAAATTCAATAATCTTAATACAATTATAAATAATGTCTGTCAGTTGATAAATAATGTCTGCCAAACGTACCACAGGAACAGGTATCAAGAAGCCAAAGGATTAGCCTTTCAGAGCCAGCAGAAGGACAAGTCTGTGGGATAAGACACAGGTTTTGTATAAAATGAAATTCAGATTCTAGCAATTGATTCACACACAATACTGCAGGAGAAGGCATCACCCAGCTTCCCTGAGTCTGAATATGACCAGTGAAGAGCTAATTTAGATCTCCTGTAGCAAACAAAACTGAAATGAGAGTCAGGGCTTTGAAAGTGTACTATCAGTAGTAGAGCTGCTTTTTCCAATTGAGGTTTAAATTAGGATAAAGCTGTCTAAATAAAAGATAATTAACATGGTTTCATGGTTTTTAAAGTCTGAAGCCCGGAAATCTGGATTGTGTACGAATAGAAGATGTTGTCAGGAACTGGGCTCCTGTCTACTAAATGAAAGAAGCAAGTTCCCAATAATAAGCAAAGATCAATCATGCAGAAGGAAAAGAGGACTAAAAGTTTCAAAACAAATGTAGTGCTGAAGAAAAAAGGAAGGGGAAAAAAAGCAGAGGCAGTAAAACTGAAATTTCTACTGTCTGCTGCAAAGCAGTTTTCACATTAATGACTCCTTAAAGGACATTCCTTGACACTCAGACTTTTGCAATAAAATGCTATTAAAAACCTGAAAAGGGCAGAAAATTCTATGGCTACTCAGCAAAAAAAAAAAGCATTAAAGATTAACAGGATCCTTTTCTGTAGGCAAATACTGCCATCTTCTGTTCATTCAGATATGGTGTTGGCCAGCCAGACCTAACACCTTGGTGGTGGGCTCCTGTCATCATTCCCAGCATAAAATACTATGCACCCATTTTTTTTTAGGGGAACTCAACTTTTTGTTCAAGGACAGAAAAAAACAAAAACAATTCCAAAATTTGCCTCCCCAAACACTAAATTTCTCTTACTTAGAATAGCTTAATGAATACAAATGGAAGGGCTCTTAGAATGGTACAGGTGGTTGCTTGCATATGTTGTTATTTTGGCATTGCACCAGAAGCTGCTACCAAGATTAGTGACTGCATGTTTGCCAATGGTGTTATAGCATCGTGTTTATGGATCTGAAAGCCAAGAAGACTGTTAAAAGGAGGATACAGTAATTTGAAATTAGCAGCTGATGTAATTCCCGTAAGTATTTTCTGCATTCTACGGTTAAATGCTGTATATGATTCAACATGAAACATCTATTGAGCATCTCTGCAAATAGCTGTTAAATTTCTACAATGGTACAGAATAAATTTTACTCTTCGTCACAGATGCACCCACAACCAAACTCTAATTTAGGGCTGTCAGCATGGCTCTCTAGATGTTGTTGGACTTCAGATCCATTCAGCCCCAGCCAGTATGGCTAATGGGTGAGGGTTAGAGTTAGAGTTAGAGTCCAACAGAATCGGGAGGAGACCACATTGGCTGCTGCTGCTGTAGTCATAGATGAAGACAGTGCGTCACACTGTCAGACTATGTGTTGAACGGGGCAGGGGGACGTTCTGTATGTAATGCTCTGTCACTTCCTTCACCCACAATTTCAGTATCACTGTGACCTTTCTCTTCCCTAAATAATATTGAATATTAAGGAATGCTTTTCATATACATAATGCAGTTTCTTTTTGGAAATCTCATGAAGAAATACAGGAAGCATCACAGCATTTCCAAAATGATTGAATTATGTCAATCAATTATCTAGTAGAATTCAATCAAATTTATTTTCTGAGTAGCATGTCAAAAATGAACTGCAGCAATATTCATATTCTATTTTATACCACATTTCTGCTTCACATTTGCCTTCATGAAGCTCAGGTATGCATTAGATAGGTATCACTGCATTTTATCTTTGCCTAAACCGCCTCACAGGGTTATTGAAAGAATGACTGCTCCAACGTCCATCAGAGAATTGCACGGCAGAGATGACTTTAAATCCAGGTCACTCTAGTTCACATTCAGTGTTCTGTTATACTGCATGGCACATGAACTCTTTTCACCCATAACAGGGTGGAAAAATCACAGTTATTGTCTTGTAATACCAAAATACATTTTTCTATTTATTATAAAATATAATTGGGCCTATATTAATAGCTGCTATTCCAAGGATGGGGGGAAATTGTTTGCTATTAGCCTCAATAATATTTGTAACTGCTCTGCAATCTTAATAGCATGAAGGACATTTGAGGGCCATGAAGTGGAAGGAAAATAATTTCACTGTTGTTCCTAGATAGAAAAGCAAATGTTCCCCTGGCTAAAAGGATTATATCTGGGAATCTTTCCCGAGGACAAAATTAGAACTGCATATTCATTTATCAGCCAGAAAATTCACCATAAAGTGCACTTCGCCTCTATAGGTGGTAAGAAATGCAATTAATTAATTCCTAGCATTAAAACAAATCTGCTTTCACTTCAACACATTCCCGATGCACAACTCAAGTTTGCATTGGTTTGTTTTCAAAGATATAAGACTGGTTTGTATTTTTTTAGTACAAATGCAAAGCTATTTTTTTTTAAAAAAAACATTAAATAAACATCGTACCGAACTGAAAACAATTCTGTTGCCAAATTGGTTACGCTTTAGGCAAAGATGAGGATTTTTGTTTTGTTTTTGCTTCTGTAACCCAGCAGTAGCAGCAGCCCTGCTGATTTCATTTTCATTTAAATATTTTGCTGCCTGTCTTTGTCTTAGCAGTAATGAGGAAGAAAATATGTTGTGCTAATAATTGCTTATATGACTTATGAAATATTTATCCCAGTACATAGTGTTTCATCTCCCTTTCTGTCCTTTCCACCCTTCTCTCTCTTGTCTTGTGGGTCATGATCTAGCACTGTCCTGTGCGAGTTTACTTAGAAGTAAGTTCCATTTTGTACAAAGGGCCTTAATCTTTGGTATGGGACTTCTGTAGCCTTTGTGCAGCACTTTTGACTCTCACTATTTTCAGTTCCATGTGTAATGCTGTCATGGAGACCAACAGAACTTAATATGAATGCTTCACTTTGGCTGAATCATGCTCTTAAGATTGTAAATCTACAGGAAGGCACTTTTGTCTGTTTTAAGTAAGCACTGCAAAGAGACATTTAAAAGACTCTACTACTACTACTACTACTACTACTACTACTACTACTAATAATAATATCAGGGAGTTGATATGTGAATGATCTGAAGTGTATTAATTTTATAAATGGCAGCAACTCTCAAAGCTTTATTTGACAGTAGCAGAAAGGGTAAGGTTTGGCATGGCATTGGGGTCAGGATTAGTTCATCATTTCACAAACCTTGTGTTGATGGAATGGGTTCACTGGGTTTGGGCCGCCCCCAACCCTTTCCATGGGAGTCAGCCAGGGCTGAACCTTGCCATGGTGCAAGCTGAGCAAGCAAGGTCTCACTGGGGGGCCAGGGGGCAGATTCCAACCAGGCAGATACCCCAACCTGAGCTTGGGGGTGTATGCCCTCCCCCATACTATGTTGATCCTGGCCAATGATATTTCCGCCCTCATACAAACAAGGGAAGGTCATAATTTCACTGAGGGAAAGGTGGAACAAACCCCAACCAAGAAAAAAAAATACTTTCAACCAGCACCCCAAAATTGCTCAGTCAGTGAAGGCTATAATCTGAGGGTGAGCAGGAAACTCTTGAGGCAATATGAGTTCCAGGGGAAGCAGCCTTATATAGGCTTCCCTTTCCCCTTTGCTCACAGGACAGCTCTTTTCCATAAGCCCGTCACACGGAGAAGATAGTGGGCAAAACCTTGCCTGGTACTTTGCTGCAATCTATGGGCCCCAGCGCTGTCTGGAAAAGGCACCCTGCACTTGTTGGCATGGACTGAGTCTTGTGGGATATTAGGAGCTAATCATTAAGCTACCTGGTAAGAATCTGACAACACAGACCAGTTGATTTTTTTAGAAAAATCCAACTGCAGTAAAGCTATTTACCTTTAGAACATGTATTACGGATAAAATGCTAATGTAGATCTATGTTTCTCAAACTTCTGATAGCTCAGTCACATTTCACTCTGTGCCAAAATGTTTAAAGTGTGCAACAGTCAGAACTGCCCATCCTCCAAAAACTTCTGTATTTCTGCTTGAGGTTCTGAACTGGGCACTATTCATGCATGAAAAGAGACATATCCAGAGTTGTGACATACAGAGGTGTATGAGAGTCTCTGCATAAGGCACCAGTTCTGTTGTTTGTCTGTATGGGGAGTGATTAGAACAGAGACCTAGCAGAATTTTCCACTTTCAGAGGAGGCTATGGGTGTCAATCATATAGTTCCACTATTCTTTTCATGAAGATAAGGATAGGTTTATGTTATATATTTGCTGGAGCATGTGTGTGTGTGTGATGACATATTACTGTTTCTTACTCTTCTTCCTTTTCAAATTGTGTTTAATATAATATGTACAATAATTATTAATGTTAGGACACACGTCACTTGGTTTTTCAAAGTAGCTTATCCACCCTCAGCTATGGGCAATATTGAAAGGACCTAGGAATCTGCTTTTTTTTTTTTTTTGCAAGCATTCCTCTGGCAACACATTTCTTGGTGCTAAATCCAGCCAAACTCAAATGAAAATCCACTCCCAGAGGTAAACAGAAAGCCTCCTTCTTGAAAATGTCAATTCATGCATACATCTGTTCCATTCATCATATTCATGAGGTTAAGGTGGGCAGGGCAAACAATCTGAATAAACAATGGCAAAATTCATCTGTTGTATGTCCAGGTATACCCAGTGGCTTATGTTATGCCAGACACAGACCGCAAGAACTATTCAAAGATGGGAAACTAAGATTGAATTCTCAGAAGAAAAAGTTCCTCTAGAAAACTGCTTGCATTTCGCAGGCCAGTCATACTAACGTTCTCTGCCAATAATCTGTACAGATTGACCCTAATGATTTGAGTGTTGAATTCAATTATGTCACTTGATCCTTTCAGTGGTCCTCCTCCACCCAGTTGCATATACCTTGAATTGCTTTGTTCACTCATGAGTGAACCATATCCCCTGTTTTGAATATAGTGGCAACATTGCCATAGAATATTGCTACCACTTTGGGTAGCTTCAGAATGCTAAATAAAGTTTCTGGATATGCTCATGGACTTAAGGATGATGGAGGTCAATGAACCCAACATATTTTACTATTTCCTTCATCCCACTGAGTTATGGTAGAAGTTTTGTGTTGTCATTACTCAACAGCATGCAATGACTTTTACTAGTTCAATGGTCCAAGGATATAGAATATTGGGACTAACCCTTCAATTGCAACATGGAACACTGAATGCCCCTACTGTATGGAAGGACCACCCCACCATCACCTTTATGTGACAGAAAGTGGATGTGGAGGGTACATAAACCAGAACCATGCCAATGTATAGGAGTTGATGTTACCCCTGCTGTTTTCACCAATCTGCATCTGTAGCATTGAATCAGAAATGTGCATAATACTGGTATCAACACCCCCACTCCATTGTGATCTCCCAACAAAAAAAGTAATGGTGGGCTGGCCACTCACCTTTCTGTTGCCATGTCATGGGTGCCTGCTGCCACAGGTTCTGCAAACATCTTACTTTCACATACACAGCAATGAGGTCTGCACTGGAAGTGATCAGCTAGGAAGGAGAATGTGGAGGTGACTAGATACCTCAAACAGAGGTCAAGAAAGTGAAGAGAGCAAATTCCATGCTGTAGATTATTAGGAAAGGGATTGATGATAAAATTGTCACTATAATTATGCAAAACTCTTATGCAAAACTTTCACCATGCCTGTGGGGTTCTGGTTGCCTCATCTCAGAAAGAAGATCATAGAGTTGAAAAGGGTTCAGAAAGCTGGAGCAGCTTCCACAACTGGTTTTTTTTTGGTTTTTTTTTGCTCTTTAATTTAAAATAGAAAAGAGTAATGTTAACAGGTTTATAAAATTCTGCGTGATCCGGAAATAACGCCCCCCCCCCCAAAAAAACCAGTGAAGTTGGTTGCAGTCAATTCAGAGAAGACAAAAAAGAAGTAGCCTTTTCATACAATGTGTGATTAATTTATGGAATTTGTCTTCACAATATGTGATTATGGCAACTGTCTTAAATGGCTTTAACATGCAATTGGATGCCTTTATGACTGGTAAATCTATGAATAGTAACCATAATATTTGAATGGAAGCTAGATTCAAAAGTGGTCTTCCTCTGAACAGCAGCTGCTACTTGTGGAGCAGGTAACATGGGAGTGGGCTGTGAACTTCATGCTTTGCTGTAGGAAGCAACTGCCTTGCCATGGTGAGAAACAGCAGGCTGGATTGCATGCTTCTTGGCCTGATCCAGCAGGTCTCCTCTTATATTCTTATGGAAAACTTAAAATCTGGCTATAGCTTGCAAAATTTCTCAAGAGAGAATTCTGCAGGTCATTGTTAAATGCTGTCTAATGTGAAATGTGAAAGAAATTTGGGTGATATTCCAGATAAGATGGCTGAAGAATTAAAATGAAAGGTAACATAACTCTTCTGAGAAGTCATGAGCATCACTAGTTGCCATTCAGATGTGCAAACCATCCATTACTTCACCACTTTCATCCCAATCAGGCACATGCATGCTATGAAAGTATTGACACACTGTGAAACTAGTTGCACAGTGCAGTGTTAACCATTGTTTTCATAATTTATTTAATTTATTTATTTAATTGAATATTATAGATCAAATTAAACCAAGCAAAAACCTAGGATTATGCCATTGTAGAGTTGCTGTCATGCTAATTCCATTTATATCCATAAATCAGATTAATTAGATGTTCAAACAAAACCCAGACTAATACCAAATAAATAGATTAATAAAAGAATATAATCAGAGTTTCTGCAGTTGTTGATATAATGGATCCTTTGGATATTTAAAAGGAGCTCTCTCTTCCCTCATCTCCTCCTCCCACAGTGGCATCTTACTTAAGTGAGATATTTCGCTCTTGCAAAGCTCCTTCCCTAACAAGCTGGAATTGGAAACTACTGGTAATTTATGCCCTCTGATTACAAATTAGAACTCCCAGTCACAACCTAACGCTTCCTTTGCCTGCAGAGGTATATGTGTATGTGTATGTCTGGCCAGAAGAAGTACCGTAAAGGATCATGGTTTGGCTTGTGTCCACCTCTGACAAGCCCCAAATACCTCTAGGATCTGTCTGAATCCTGTACTCAGCTGTACTACTATTACACACACACACACACACACACACACACACACACACACAGTTGGAGTTTGGTATATATTGCAGCTGAGTATAAAACTTGATAGCCTCTTAAGACTTCTGCTTGCAAGTATAAAAAAAGATTAAGATGGCTTACAAGTGGCCATCCTGGAGGTTCAACGCTGAGGAGAAGGAAACAAATAAAACCTGAGAGAAAAAGCTACAAGTGGGTTACTTAAGAAGAAGCTGAGGAAGAAGAGGCTGCCTTCCTGTCTATCACACCATCATCTCCAATTCAGGTAACTTATTGCAAGCATTGTTTTTTTACTCACAACTCACCTACCTAGCTTTATATGCACATATTTAACCACAAGTTACAATGGTTCTATATATCAAAAAAGTTCCTATGGCTTTCTCCATCACTGGAATGTAATTCGTGAGAAAAATTATTTGCTAGTAGTCCCTATCAGTGTTAGTTCTGGGTTTTGAAGGACGAACAGATAAGATGATATCAGTGGGCCACCCTCCTTTTCACCATTGCCTATTCACTTGTTCTCTTTCTCTGGACCTAATCCACCCAGTTACCATACAAAAGGTGAGCATAGGCTGCTGTTCCTTCACCTGTCATCAATATTTACTTACTTAGAGGCGAACAGGCAGAGACATCATGGAAGGATAGTAGTTCCAGGAATGGGCCCCTTCCTGGGATGTGAACCTCAGAAGGTGGCTTCAGCAGTCCTGCCATTATGCTGGACCTAGCCTTTCTTTCAGAACTATAATTCCCAGGATCAGCTGGGTAAGGGGCATGACTGCAAAGCTAGCATCAGTCAAAATGCTAGCACAGTAGAAAATGTCCAAAGAATAAAGGTTTATGCTATGCTATTTAATGGGACCAGCAGTTGCATCAATAGCAGAGTCTCTTAGTAAGTTCATCTGCACAGTCTCATTCCGATTTTTCAGAATTGTATAATATCTTGTTTCAATCAGAAGTAAACAATGCAGCCTCCCAAGGGATTGTGTCAAAAGTCTTTAGCTCTATGAGATGTTTAAAAACACTGAGTGCTAGGAAAAGTCCCCTTATTTGCTAAGGCAGAGGTCGGCAACCTAAGGCCCATGGGATGGTTCCATCACAGAGGCTGGTGGTGGCGGCAGCAGAGGAGGAACAAGCAGCCTGAAAGCAGCCCTTTGGGGCTGCTCGTTCCTCCGCCACCACTGCAGCCACCAGCCTCTGCCTCTTGGCAGCACCCTAGGTAGGCAGGGGGACAGGAAGGGCTGGGGAGAGGGGGGGGAGAAGCCCCCTCTGCCATATGCGTATGTGCGTGTGCATGCACGCACGCATGCACACACACACACACATGCACTCCGGCCAACCAGGAGGTTTGTGGTGCAGTGAACT